ATGACACCAAAAGTCCTCGTACATCACATCGTACTCTTGTCGTCTAGCAACTTTGGCCAATTTTACCCTATATTTATTCGAAATGGAAGTCCATGGAATGAGTACGGACATTGCGCTAGAATCTAAGTCTTTCGTTAAAAGTTCTTTAAGAGCGTCAAAATTGGATGCCATATCCAGGCAGGACTTGCCATCAGCTCCATACAAACGAAGAATCTTAATGATTTCACAATGCACAGACAAGTTTTCAAACGCTGCGTTTATCGAATGGTCTGATGTGTCCACTCCTCTTTCTTGAGGTTGTCCATCATCAAAGGTTTCATCATCTTCATTAACTGATATTTCAATGGTCGCAGAGGCAGGTTTCTCTTCTATCTTGTTATCCAATACACCAGTTTCTATTATATTCCTACAGCAAAGACGAAGTGGTTCGGACGCAGTGGTAGGATCTTTCATTGACTCTAAGATATCTTTGACAAGATTCGTTTTCCAATTTGTCCGTGTGGATTTGTCTTTGCAGATGGCATTCAAAAGACCAACAGCAAATGTCTCGGACTGAGTGTAGCCCCGCTCGCAAGCCTCGTCAACCAGAGCTTTAGAAAAAACAAAGTTCTCCTGTCGAATGAGAACACTTAGAACTGAATCACCCTCTTCGTCGGCTGTCCATGGATCAAGTCCCTTGTCGATGGCAGTTTTCCAAAATGATTTTGGGTCTTCTAACTCTGCAACATCTGGGTAAATAATGCTGTAATTAGCAGCATCTGAATAGAGATCACCTTCATAACCACGAAATGGCCACCCTGTTTTCGCGGCAACAACAAGAGGTGATGCTTTTGATGAATCAACTTCGTTGGCGCTTGCTCCAGCATCAAGCAACAGCTTCACAGCTATCCAGGTTCTGCACAAATGTAAAGGGGTTTGATCTTTACCATTTCTATTATTCACTCTTGCTCCACATCTCAAAAGGTAATTTAAGATTGTTTGTAGGAATTCCTCAAATGTGAGCTCTTTAGTAACATTACTTGTATAGTCTTGAGGTGATGGTAATTCTAGTGAAGCCCAAAGATGCAGTGGTGAATTGAGATCAACATCAGGTATGTTGATAATCCTTCTCAGACTTGCTACATTTTTTGCAGGTGGAAATATTTGCAAAAGTTTGATTGTTTCATGCAAAACATTTTGTCTTACTGTCTTATCACGTATCTGAAG